ATATAGCTATTACCATCATTATCTTTATCAATTAAGTATGCGTGACATTTCTTTTTTTCCTTTAAAGATTTTTCCGACTCAAAATATGTTTTGTCATTTATTTCAACATTTAATTTAATTTTCCTATGTTGATGAGGTGCAATCACCATATCCTCTTCAGTTCTTATGTCAGTAATTTTACTTTTAGGGACTATTGCATTAGTGTTAATAGATTCAATTTGAATTAACCACTGTTTTTGCATTTTTATTCTGTGTTTATATCCACCTAAGTTCATGATAATCTCTTTGGTGTCAAAGTTTAGTTCAACTCGGTTTTTGTTTAGGAATTTATTACCTAAGATTATTTCACTATTGGTATCAGGTGTTATATAAAATTTGTCTCTAATGATTATGTTGTCTATCTCTAACGCAATCTCCGTTGTCCCTATAATATTTATAGGAGAGTCGTTTGCTGAAACTACAGTTGGTAGCTTTTCGGTCTCAATTTTATTTCCCGATAACAAGTTAGAGTTTATCAAATTTATATTTGAGCCTGTGTCTACAATACAGTTAATTACTTTGTTAGGATTTTGGATTAACCTAGCATTAAGTGTTAACACTGCTAGTCTCTTATCTTCCGTCTGTTGTATCTTAAAAAGAGTATCATGTAGTTCTCTTCTCCCTAAATTCTCCTTTTTCCTTGGCTTGTGTATCCTTCCGTCTGAGACTAGGGAAATATCACAGCTATGGATCATGTGTTTGGTTTCTTGTTCATTTAGCTCTATGCAAATGTTCTTCTTATCTTCTTCTATTAGCTCTTTTTCTTCAACTTTCCTGTCTTCCTGCTCTTCTCTTGAAGTCAGTTCTTCTTCTCCATTCCTTTCTTCATTAGTCTTCTGCTCATGGGGTTTTCTAGGTTTTGGTGAAGAGAAACCATTACTATGGTCTCGTATCTTCCTTGTCTGATATTTACAAAAGTTTGTATTATGTACAGTTACTCTGGAAAATCCATAGTTATTTTCCTGTCCCGTAGGTTGAGTAAAACATCTACCTTTATACTGTTTCCTATATCTAGCTTCATTTAAGGTGGGAAATTCACTATCATAATTGGTTATATACAACTGTTTGTGTGTGTTAATGTGTGTGGGTTTTATGCTAAACGGCTGGGGAGGTTGCCTTGTGTAGTTAGTATAAGGAACTCCCCATTTTACGCGTTTTTTGGCCTATTGTGGGTGGGATTTAGTCTAAAACATTGTTCTCTGCTGTGATTAGTCATTCTACAGTGGTCGCAGTACCTAGTTGTTGTAGGTGAACTGTTATTTCTATCGTTGTGGTTCCTGTATCTGCAGTCCTGGGTTTTGTGGTTGTTCCTTCTGCAGATACTACAATATACATTATCTCTTCTCATGTATGTAGTTGGTGGTTGATGTGTCCCGTAGTTGTAGTAGCGTGGCGCTGGCTGTCTATGAACGGAGGTAGTCGGTGAACTCCGTGAACTCTGGAACAGCTGATTTGCTCCTCTGTGTACGTTGTGTTGCGGATTCCTTTTCTGCAGGCGTTCCATGTTGTTGTCTAGGTCTGTAGATCGCTGAACTTCTGAAGCTGTGTTCTCTTCCATTGTTGTTGGGAAATGATCTTTGTTGTTGCTGTATTTGTGGATAAAAGTCTGGTTGTACTTGTCTTCGTGGTGTTCCTGCCATAGTCATGTTGGATACTATTTGAGTTAAGGACCTAATCTCTTCTTGTAAATTGTTTATTTGTTCCCTACTGTCAGTGTCCCCTCGAATTAATCCCTCTCTTTCTGCTCTATTGTACTTTTCCCTATTAACTAATTTGATTTGAAGTTGTAGTTCAATTTTTCTTAAGCTTTGTTCTAGTTGTTCTAATGTTTCACACGTTTCGGACAAAACCCTGTCACAAAATTCAGGTCGTAGACCTTGTATAATGTATTGAGCTATCCTTTTCTCTGACATTTCGGGGTCATGCCGTTTACATAGTGTTAGTACTTCTAAGTAATACGTCAGCACCGGCTGATCCTGCCCTTGTACTTTTTTTATCCAAAATGTTTTGCAGTGTTTGTGCTTGCGCAACGGGTGTAAATGTACTTATAAAGGTGTTTTTAAGTTCATCCCAACTATTAATTAGTCTCCCTTTCATGTAGTGTTGGTACCAAGTGAGTGCAGTTCCCGCTAAGTGGGCTGGGAATAAATTTAATTTTGACGTTTCCTGCCAATTGTTTGATTGAGCTGCGATTTCGTATTTGTCTATGAAATCGCTGGGGTTTTCCGTGACTAGACCGTGGTATGTACCAGCAGAAATTAATGGTAAATTTTCTTTGGGTTGTGTCATGTTGTTTGCTAAAGGTGGCTGATTTACGTAACAAACCGTATTGTTTAAGGGTTGTGGTAAATGTACGTTTAAAGGTGTGCCGGCTAATTGGATCTCTCCTAAGTCCTCTGATGCTATGTCAATGTCCTCGTAATTTTCGTCCTCCTCACTGTCACTAGCTGGTGTGTCATACAAGTTTTCCCTATCACTGATGAATTTGTGAATGCGATTCAATAAAGGGTGTTTTGACAGTTCAGCTTCCGAAAGACATCTTTTACTTAAAAGTTTCTTTAAAATCAATTTTTTCTCTTCAGACCAATTATTTTTTACAAAAGCTTTAAGGTCAGCTACAATGGGTCTCAAATCGGCTACAAGGTCCTCATCCCTATATTTTATGTTAAATTTCGACAAAATAAGCTGTAATTGCTCCTTTTTAACCCTATATATGTCTGGGGGTAGATCAACTTCTGTTAATGGCATTTCATTTTTTATGTTTAAAAAAATTGTTAACAGAGTATGTTATTTATGATTAGTTACTTGACTGCAATTTAATTAAAACTAAATGTGTATTTTTTTTTGTCACTACCACTGTATTTATATTTTGCTATTAACGGTTTGTGTTAATTACCTATTAGATCGTTTATAAGTTCCCTAAGGTATTTTATGTGTTGAACATCTATAACCTGACAAAGTCTTAACTTAATCTAAGCATATACACGGTTTTGTCGCTTTGCTAAATCAAAATCCCTGCTATGCGATTGTCACTTTCTTAAAACATATTAATCATACAACACTTATTTTAACATGCATAACTCATCTGTGCCAGTCAAATCATTGCTGATAATAAAATCAAATCGGCAGCCTCCACCATGTAAACTTATGGGGTTTTCAATTACTTTAAATGTGAAAAATACAAAATTATTACTAAGCTCAGTATACTCGCTTGGCATATGTGAGAATACTCAGGAACTGATTGAACTGACACCATTGTATGAGTTACCAAATTTTATTTGACCACTCACTCTAATCTACAACCCTTTAAAACACAATACATTTATATAATAATCAATAAATCAAATGACGTATTTACCAAAGGAATTAAATATTTTGGGGCCCCAGTATCAAAATAAGAGAATTGAACACGTATATAAGTTTAAAAGTGATAGATATAATACATATGTAAAACGACTCGATCTTAATTAATTAAACCCTTTTACAAAAAAATATAGATATTCATAAAATGTTATTAATCTACATCTTTGCCATTTGGCCAAAGTCCAGTTCACAAAACTTAAACCACAAGGCTAATATGAAATTCTATAAAATTAATACACTTAACAAACAAAGACTATTCACATTTAGCAAGCTACCAAATATACACGTTTGAAAATAAAATACTAAATGAGAACTTACTTAGGCTATTTCAAAAACATTATTTTACATGTTTAACCTTTAAGGCTATTTTGTTGTTGTTTTTATTCAGCAGGAAATAATATTTTTATTATTATTTATGATTTATATCATCGATCATTTAGGTTTTAAATTTTTATTTTTAAGTTAGGTTTAATTTGAATGAATTGTAGTTATTTAACTTAGGCCCTTTTTTTATGTAATTTAAATTTATCTTCTTCCTTCTAAAATTTGTTGTCCTGGGAATTATAATTGAATTTTGACATACCGAGGAGAAGATCTTGAGGGTAGATGAATTCCCCGAGGTGACGTCTCGTGATGTCCAGGCCTCCCCTTGTCTCCGTTGGCAGATGACTCGGTGGTTGATCCTGGTCCTCGATGGTGGATGACGACCCCCTGGAACCTCTTCTCTCGGCGTGGGCTGAGTAGGTGAAGTAGTTTGGCCTAGGACGTATTCAGGTGGCAGATTTTACCAATCCTGATATAATTTGGGGCCTGCTCGATCCGACCCCGTCCTAAGCCTCGCAAATCTTCTTCCAGACTGATCCCATCTTGCTCTTCCTGTCCCTTCCTTTTTTTTGAGATTTCCCATCATTCTAATTAACCACGCCTACAGTGTCCAATCATAGATGATCCCTTTGGTGCTCAATGCTGTGATTGGCTGCCACTTCGATCAGCAGTTCACTGTAGACGTCAGGTTGTGCGTCCATTGCCCGGGACCTTGAATATGATACTTGTAGACTCGTCGGTGCCATTCAACATGTCTCTTTGTATTAGAAAATTGTAATATTTGATTTACTTCGGATTAATATAATTGTTTTAAATGGGCCTAATACGAATTTTAAAAATATGAGCATGAATGAAATTTAAGAATTTAATTAAAATATAAATATGTTTACAACTTGTTTATGGATATATATTGATAAAATTTGGCAAATTTATTTATTTCATCCTATACTATTGATGTATGTTCAAAAAACACTTTTACCTTCCCCGTAGCAGCAAACCTAAGCACTCGTTAAATATAATGTTTATTTAAATAGGGAATAAATATGTCTTATTTATGGAAATATTTTAGTAAAAATGTAATCAGACAAGTTGAAATTCGCTTAGTCTGCAGGTTTGCTGCGGGGTGGGTATTTAGTATATAGGATTATTAGTGTCGGGCAACGTTGCACTAGTCTTATCTTGTGATTGGCTCATTGGCTGCCGCCAACTGCAAACTTTCGTGGTCCTGACTAAATTTTATTTATCTGTTGTAAAACATTTCAATTTATTTTCAGACCTCCACCCCTACTTGGAAACCTGGAACCCCGGTAAGATACATAAATAATAAATTATGATTTTGATGAGAACATATTATAGTTCTCCATTGCCATTGTTCTAGTGTTGCCTGCAATTTGTTATAACTTGTTGGAAATAAACAAATAATTGATACTGATTATATGATTGTACAATCAAAAATAAAATTATCATCAATAAAAACACTTTAGCAATCAACTTATGATAATCATAGTCTTATAATTCACTTGATAATATGCACATGAAATATATACATGATTCTAAAAGTAATGATTAGAATGGCAACTTGCAGAAATTGGCATTATTTGTAACAAGGTAAAGTAATGTTCCAATTGTAGAATATTTGGTTTGCATCTATCCCCGATTTATTGGAAAATCCAGTAATTAAAACACAAAATTGTTTGAAACTGTTTGTTGTAAATATAACATAAATGTCGTTATTTATGTGGTAGGAATTATAGTACTGGTACTGTGTACAACTGTATTTTAAATTTTTAATATTTTAACTAATCATTTATCTTATGAAATTTTTTCAGGTGATAAATATACGATTAAAAACTGAACCAACGATACGGTGGTTGACTTGAAAGATTTTTGGATTCCACATATAAACTTACTATAATTGTTTTAAGGTTTTATTTTTTATTAAACTGCAGATAAAAGAAACTTTTAAGTCTTCATTTTAATTTTACTATCTTTACAATCAGCAGATTTAAGTCTGCTGACTTAGAGGTGAAGAGGTGAACAAAGCTACACAGATGATCTCACTTGATCGCTTGATCCTTTCTACATACCTTGCTTTCAGATTCAGCTCTAAATACCCATCCAAGTGTGTGTTGCTGTTTTAAAGAATTTATAGTTGATAAATCAATTTAATCCTTAGAAAAGTAAGATTCTTGTTGGTAGCAGCAGTCCTTAATCACTGGACTTAAATAAACTAGTTTTCTGTGCGTGGTTCACAGGAGCAAGAATACTTAAGAGAATAGTTTGTTTCTATATCTACTATAACTTAATAGTAGTTTTTAGCAAAGAGTGGTAGAAAGATAGTGTACTGTCAACACTAGTAGTAGTAGAAACTTCTACGAGTGTTAGTTGTTAACACTTTCGTTCATAACCTCTCATTGCAGCTGACGGTGATGCAACGAAACATTGTACTAAAACACTAACTGCACCACTTAACAATTAAATTGGACTGAAGACTTAATTAGTAAAAGTTCAAATCAATACAATTTTACTTCTTCTCTCTCCATCCTTGAACCTCATCGGTCCGTTACCAGTGTTATTATGAGTAAAAACTATGCTGTTATGAAAGTAAACAATGCTATTATGTGAAACTGTTCAATTCTAAGAACTTAACTGAAACGGATGGTACCCCTATCACACCAATTATACAGGTAAATCTCAATCATACTTATTGCGTATATTGATCAAAATCACTTGTGTATTTTTATTAAACTTTGAGGAAGTCTACTTTCAGTAACCCAAGTCGGCGTTTTCTCAACCTCTGGGTCGTTTTCTCAGTTTGACAACAACATCTCACTCCACACATGGTAGCACATCCACTCTCTTGATAACATCGGTGTCGCCGTCGCCAAATGCTCCCATTTGTTTGTGGCAGAATGGCGGTCATTAATACAGCTGATATCATCAAGTCGACCTCTGTAGAACGGCGCTAGCAGACTGACCATACTTTGTTGCCTTGGTCGACCGATCCGTCAGTTGGATTGGGCTTGAGTCTTCGACTTTGGATATGTGTGTTTCATGTCCGGGTTCAATTGAGTTTGTTGAATTTATCTAAACTTTAGAGTGGTCGAAAAACCACAAAAGTACATGAAAATTGATAACCCATGGATAAGGCACACATCACACCTCTAAAACAAGCACAAGTTATCGAGGTTTTTTGTGGGAGGAAGTGGGGACCTTTTCACGAAAAGTGGGATTTTCCCAAGTCCTACCCTCTAGAACCCACACCCTAATCTCCTGATCTCTATACTTCTGAATAATAGTATGCACACCTCAGCTGTATATACTTAAATATACAAACAATAGGCCTAAATACAACCGTAACATAGAGCGGTACATTAGAAGGCTACAATTAATCGAAATGCATACATAGTTATGTCGATGTCCATTTTGTATGATTTTCACGTCTATAGCATTTTTATATCGTTCATGTAAAGGACCCTAACTCTATTCATGTAATTATCTAACCTAATAACCAAAATAATTAATACAATGTGTGTGCAACTATGCATAATCCTTTAAATAACATCTTTGGAGTAAAAGTTTCTCACCGAGCACGAACCAATTTCAATTTTTTTTTACGGCAATAATTTTTTTTTTTAAGAAATCTTTATTGTTTTTTCCATACAACAAACAAACACAAAATACATTTACATATGAAAAAAGAAGAAAAAAAAACAATAACCACCTTAGGTTAAAAACCTATGTTGGTGGATTTATACACTTTCTTATATTCTAAAAATCGAAGAGGCGGTTTTGACTTATATCACGGTTACAATATATACAGTGAGTGTGAGTTCTACCATTGACTATAGTCAATGGTTCTACACAGTGATCTTCTTCAGCACAGAGTAAAAGTCAATACACTTACAAACAAAAATGATACAACAGAGTAAAAGTATTTATATTACTTATTATCTATATTAGCACCATTGACTGACAGTCAATCATACTACGCAATAACTGCTGTAGTTTTAAAATAACTGTTGAACTATTCACACATCGGTTCGTTTTATTTATGCGATAACCGATATTCCATTTATTTTATTCAGTTTTGGTATAACACTGAGCTCTGTTGTAGGGAAAACTGTATTGTGGCCCGAGTAATTTACCAAGTGACCGGTGATTTCCCTTGGCTACTTGGGCGTTCGCAATCAATTTAGTTTATCGGCGTTCCCTTCAATATCTAATTAATATCTACGAGACCCGTTTTTACGAAGGAGGAAAACATGTCAAATCACTCATCCAATCGCGTACCGATCCAGTTTCACACTGTTGCCAATAGGGGTGCTCTAACTACGAGCTGTAGGCTCTATCAATGGCTCTATAAACAACTCTCGGAGTTGTAACTCTTCCATAACCTCTACAGGCACAAGTCATAAAGCTGTTGCCGGGGGACAGCACAATTGCCGATACCTGTCGCTAGATAGCTGCACTAGCACTATCGCATTGTTGTCGCGATAAACATATGTCTGGCAGGAGTACCAACCGCGGTGTCCGACCTGGTTAAATTTCCCACACTATCTCATCTGATGTATATCTGATTTATATTGCTTTCACGGTAATTGGCGATCGTATTTCTACTGAAGGGTTTATTTGACTGCAGCCGTTTCTGTGAATGGTGTATTTAGAGCTATGCACCTTAAGGTGGTGTAGGCCTACATTGGTTGCTACAAGGTGTGACTACTAGACTACTATTAGTTATTTTGAGGTTTAATGGCTCACATTTCAGATAAAGTTTAAGAGATCCCACTAGCATAGATTAAACTTACAACGTCATATTATTCTTCCCGGTTTATATTATAAAGGAAGGTTGTTTTTGCTATATGTTTCGTATTATTCAGCCAATTGTGAAACTGTTTTATCTTATTAAATCACATATTTGTAAAATATCGCTTGTCATCTGGTACTGTGAAGAAAGAGTAAAGCGATACTTGTAAAAATAAAAATAAGAAAAGGACTACCTACTTTAGTGCACAGTGCATGAAGCATACACATCAAAACAGGTTTTGTGTATAATAAGTAATACAAGGTGAAGTCTACGTGTGTACTATCCAAAGTCATTGGTTTAAGATACTAAAACGCATGCGCGATTCCCATCACCGTCCATACCCTACGAGGGCTTTGAAATAAACGTTCCTCAAGGTTGAAAATAATATTATACCATCCAATACGAACACTTCCGGTTTCTCATAACGTTATCGGTCACAGTTATCTCAACAAAACAAACACACAATGATTGAGACTGAAGGCTGGAACAGGTGACTGGCGGAGATATAATGATCTCAATATTGAGATAGGGGAACAATAGGCGTGATCAGGAAGTGATCAATAAACCATTGAAAGATTAAAGGTCAGAAAGTGGACTGAGGCAATAAGATCTATTGTCCAACTAACATTCCGGTGGCATTCTACGAGGAGAGCGGGCTGAGCGGCGGATCTTGATCATTTTGATGAGAAGATTGCGACCATCACAGCTGTCACAGAGGTTGCTTTCTTTGCCAAAGCTAGTCGCCAAGTTTCACCTAATGGTGAAATGTAATTATACTTGGTTGGATAACTGGTGTTCTGAATACACAAGGAGCCTTTTGCTGTTTTTGGAAAGGTTGTAACTGTTGTCATATCCATACTGTCTTCATTGATGCATTGCGTAAATAAGTTTTCCTACAATCACCTGACAAAGTGGCCTTCCTTGCACTGATTATAGCACAGAAAACTGGTAATTGCTACATATATTTACTATTGCCACACACCAGTGTTCCAACCAAACAACAAAAAAGCAGCGTGCCTTTATTAGGCACGTAATACTTGTACGTTTGAAAATAAGCTGGCAACAGTTAAATATATTACTACTACGACTACGATCAGCTAGTGCAGCGTTTCTCATGTTTTCTTTCAATGTTTGGATTTAACCTAACCTAAAAACTTGTTGTTCAGTGTTCGAATGACTAATTATGTGTATGCTTTATAGTAACTGTAGGAAAAATACAATGTGTAACTCGAGTACAAACTGCCTTTGCTGCACTCGAGAAACCTTCCACATTCGCATTTGGTTCGTGCGTAAACATTTCTCTCGTGTGCAGCAAAGTGCCACTTCACCCACTAGTTACACAAATAACTATTTCGACATACAGTACTCTTAACTCACATTTTTTGTTCAGCCTGGACCCAGAATTTTTCAAAATTCAAAATCGGGATCTTCTATTGCCATATCTACTCTTCTCTACGGATGATTTCTTCAACATCCCACATTCATTGTAAGTAGTAATTTTAAATAACTAGGAGCGTAGCAGAAGCTTTATTATTTGAGTTGGTCAGTTGTAACTAATTTTCAGTTTATGCATGGATTTCGCTCTGATTTGCTTTGTTTTGTTTTGATTTTTTCTCCCTCTTCTGTGTTTTTTTATTATTTTTTTGCCTGAGTGTTTTGTTGCTCGAATCCTTTTAGACTTCCTGCCTTTTTGGCACTTCTTGTATATATTAGAATAAGAATTTGACGTGTCCTATTGCATTGTTTTGCTTAACAGAATAAATAATTTTTCATTTTGATTTTGATTTGGTATAACATCGTGGTGTGTTTCACCGTGGTATACATGCTTAAAGTGGAGATAATTTTTCAATACAAAGAATGTTCTCCTTGCTAGACAGTTTTATGGTTTTCTAAATAGGTGGACCTGAAATTTAAGCACAGACAACAGAAACGATACTTACCTGCATTGTGCATCTTGTCCGAGGTTTAAGGTAGGCATTGTATGATTTTCTTTTATGATACACGGTCGAATGGATTATAGTAGAAGAATTTCTCCAATGCACTTAAAATTTTCACTTGCAATGATTTTTTATTACTTTCTCCATATATGTTTACAGGGTGGCTATAGTGACCTGGAAAACCTGGAAATGTCAGGGAATATTAAATATCTGGA